AAGAGAAGCATTTTCTAAATGTGTCCCGAAGGGTCTTCATTTCTCCATCCAGTGTTTGGGGTAGCACCCTTGGGTGTGGGGAGCGGGTGGGGGCTGGGTGGCAGCCCACCCGCAGCTCCCACCAGCTGGAGTCCCAGCTCTGCCCTTTGGAGAGTGACAGGTGCCCGAGTCTCTGCCTGCAGGACAGGGTAGTCATCGTGTGCACCCTGCAGGTGGCTCAGGAGCCCCTGAGAAGCCTGGTGGTGCTTAGGGGATGTTCGCTGTGTTTGCTCCAAGCCTCTCCGCCTGGGTGCGGGAGGGGAGGCCATGAGTACCAGTGGTGAGTGGTGTTGGTGCAGTCGGAGGAAGACACTTGTAAGTTTCTAAGCTGGCCGCTTGGGTGCCAGCTTGATTGCCCACATTAGGAGCCTACTTGAGGGATGAGGTTAAATGGGAGACCGGAGGGGCGATTTGAACTGCTGTGTGACCCCTCTTGTCAGCTCACCTCAGGAACGTTGCTGTGCTGGGCCTGGAACTGGGCCCAAGGCTGCTGGACCCATGGGGCCAGAGGCTGTCAATCCCACCAGCCTCTGAAGGAGAGACCCACAGACACCGCCACCCACCCTCACGTTTCGTGAACACCTGGCGGTGATGTTGCCAGAGCTATGGGAAGAGGCTGGTTTTCTCAGACCAGACCCCCCACCCCTACCCCAATTCACACACTTAGCCGTCTGGTGGGGCGTCTGGGTGGTGGTGAAGTCCGCCTGGGCGTGCTAGCTAGCCGAGCGTGAACGTGAAACCTTTTCCGTTTATTTCCATCCTTGTGGGCTGTTTGCTCTAGCCCCCCGCCCCCCAGGGCTGTCTGTCCTGCCTTTAGGTCTAGGCCCTTAAGGAACCCGGGGGGAGCATTCTGGGTGATTCTGAGCTCAGCGTTGCACCAGCCCGCCACAGAGCACCAGGCTTTTACCAAGGACCCTGGCTGGTGGTGAGCTCCCTGCCTAACTTAGCCCTGAGTTCCTTTTGGCCCAGTGGCCAGCTGATTTTCCGGCCGGCAGCGTCCAGAGCCAGGGTGGGGAGCTGCTGGTGCTGCTCTTAACCTTTGAGTTGTCTGAGGTGGGGAGCAGGGTGGGAGGAGGCAGCCCCGGGTGGCGCCGGGGGAGGGAGGGCCCTGGACTGCGCTGGTGAGGCCAGGTGTGGCACTGTTTGTTTCAGGATTGCCTGGTGGAGCCTCCCAGGTCACACCTCTTGCCTTCCCTTTGCCCTCGTCCGCCCAGGTCCCCCTCACCTGATTTCTCCCTCCTCAGCCCTTTGCTGGCCTGGCTGGCCCTGCCCCTCTGGCTCACAGTGGCCTTCACAAGCGGAAGCCCAGCCATGAGCACCATTGAGGCCTTCAACCCGTCGTGTGTACCCCCCCC